GAAAAGAAAAGTGCTCATATGTGTTTTATGGCTCAAGATGAAGCAAGTGATAATGAAGAACTTTTAGATGCTTTCAATGAATTATATGAAACTTTTTTGAGATTAAAGGCTTCACATAATTTTCTCAAAGGTGAAAATAAAAGATTACTTGAATAAGTTTCTGATTTTAATTCTTCCACTTATTTTAATTCTCAAATAATTGAATTAAAAGAGGAAAATAACTCCTTGCTTAAAGAAAATCATGTTTTGTCAAATAAGAATGTTTATCTAAAATCTGAATGCAATAACTTCAAAATTCGCATTAATGATTTAGATAAACATATTTCTTCTATTAAATTAAAATATAATGATATATGTTTGAATGTTAGTAAATTTCAATAAAGATAAAGAAAATCTTAATAGTTTACTCTCATTTCAAAAAGAATCTCAAAATACAAAAGGTTTGGGTTTTCATATTAATAATAATACTTCTAAGAAAACTATTTTAGTAAAACCTATTTGTAAGTAGCATGAACATAATATTAAAAATAATGCTTTATATGAAAAGAAATCAAAATACTTATCTATTTGGATTCCTGCATGAACATAATATTAAAAATAATGCTTTATATGAAAAGAAATCAAAATACTTATCTATTTGGATTCCTAAGGAATTAACTTCTTTAAAGAAAAAGTTTATATGAAAAGAAATCAAAATACTTATCTATTTGGATTCCTAAGGAATTAACTTCTTTAAAGAAAAAGTATTATATTTCTGTTTTTATTAAAGATGTTTGTTTATCAAATAACTATTTAGGCAAATCAAATTCTCTATGGGTTTGGTTTCTTAAAGGCTAATTTTATGGACCTAACAAAACATAGGTACCAAAATTATAAATGTTTATCATTTCAGGTACCTAAGAAAAATAGGAGGATTTTGGATAGCGGCTGCTCTAAACATATGACCGGTAATATACAATTATTGTCATCTTATCAAAATAAGAATGGTGCTACTATCACTTTTAGAGATAACAACAAAGGGAAGGTCATCGGTATTGGAATTATCGGTAATCCAAATAAACCTATTATTGATAATGTTTTATTAGTTGATGGTTTTAAACATAATTTGCTTAGTATAAGTCAACTTTGTGATAAAGGTTTTAAAATTATTTTTGAAAAAGAATCTTGTTTAATTTATGATATTGATATGATTACTATATTATTTAAAGGACATAGAAAAAATAATATATATGTTTTTATCTATGAATAACATTTCTAATGAACATTTCCTTCTTGCATCTTCTAATGATTCTATTTTATGGCATAAACATTTTGCTCATGTTAACTTTAAACATATTTCTAAAATTTCTAAGAAAGATTCTGTTAATGGGTTACCTAAGCTTTCTTATAAAGATAATTTTTGTGATGCATGTCAATAAGAAAAAAATGCATAAATCTTCTTTTAAATCTAAAGATATAATTTCTATAAGTAAACCACTAGAATTATTTCATATTGATCTTTTTGGTCCTTCTAAAGTTGCATCATTAAATGGAAGCAGATATGCAATTATAATTGTTGATGATTTTTCAAGATTTACATGGGTAATATTTCTTAAACATAAAAATGATGCTTTTAATGAGTTTTCTATCTTTTACAAGAGAATTTAAATACAAAAGTCTCTTTCTATTATTACTATTCATAGTGATCATGGAGGAGAATTTTAAAATATACTTTTTGCAAATTTTTATGATAAAAATGGTATTTCTCACACTTTTTATTTTCCTCGAGCGGCTCCACAAAATAGAGTTGTAGAAAGGAAGAATAGAACTTTACAAGAATGTGTTAGAACCATGTTGTGTGATAGTAACCTACCAAAGTATTATTTTTGGGTAGAAGCTATCTCTACAACATGTTATGTTCAAAACAGAATTTTATTAAGACCTATTTTAAAGAAAACACCTTATGAGTTGTTTTATGATAAAATTCCTAAAGTTTCTTATTTTAAAGTTTTTGGTTGTAAATGCTTTATTTTAAACACAAAAGATAACTTGGACAAATTTGATTCTAAGTGTGACGAAGGAATATTTGTTGGATATTCTAACCATAGCAAAGCTTATAGAATATATAACAAAAGATACTTTGTCATTGAAGAATCTATGCATGTTTCTTTTGATGAGAATTTTACAAAAACACCTACTATTTTAAATAATGATGATGATTTAATTGATTCTATTCATGATACTCAAATGCTAGATGTTTCAAAAGATGATAATTTACAAAATGATTTACCAAAGAATTTTGTAGAAGTTAAATATCATCCACATGATTTGGTTATTGGTAATATTTCTGATAAAGTTACTACTAGATCTCATTTTAATTTGATTGCTTATGCTGTTTTTATTTCTATTATTGAACCTAAAAATATAAAAGATGCTTTACATGATGATTTTTGGATAATTACTATGCAAGATGGACTAAATTAATTTACAAGAAATAATGTTTGAGATCTTGTACCTAGACCACAAGATAAATCCATTATTAGAACCAAATGGATATTTAGAAATAAATTATATGAATATGAACAAGTTGTTAGAAATAAAGCCAGATTAGTTGCACAATGATATAATCAAGAAGAAGATATTGATTATGATGAAACATATGCACCAGTTGCTCGTTTAGAATCTATAAGAATTTTACTTGCATTTGCATGTTCTATGAATTTTAAATTATATCAAATGGATGTTAAAAGTGTTTTTTTTAATGGTTTTATTAAAGAAGAAGTTTTTGTAGAACAACCTCCAAGTTTTAAAAATAAAAGTTTTTCAAACCATGTTTTTAAACTTAAAAAGGCTTTGTATGGTCTAAAAAAGCACCTCGTGCTTGGTATGATAGATTAAAAAAGTTTATTTTAACTTCTGGTTTTCAAATATGAAAAGTTGATTCTACACTTTTTATAAAGAAAATTAATAAAAATATACTATTAATTCAAATATATGTAAATGATATAATATTTGGTTCTACTAAAGATAATTTTTGTCAAGGGTTTGCAAAGACAATGCAGGATGAATTTGAAATGAGTCACATGGGTGAACTCAATTTTTTTCTTGGAGTTCAAATCAAACAATTAAAGGAAAGAATTTTCATCAAGCAAAACAAGTATGCTAAAGATTTACTCAAACGCTTTAGAATGGAAAATATAAGAAGTAAACCAACACCAATGAGTACTACTACATCTCTTGATAAAGATAAAAATATTAAGAATGTTGACCAAAAGTTTATATCGAGGTATGATCGGTTCACTTCTTTACATTACTGCAAGTAGGCCTGATATTATGTTTATATGCTAGATTTCAGTCTAATCACAAAGAATTACATCTTAAAGCTGTAAAAAGAATTTTTAGATACCTAAAAATACTACAGATTATGGTTTATTTTATCTTATGAATAGCACATTTGATTTAGTATCATATAGTGATGCTGATTTTGTAGGATGTAAATATGATAGAAAAAATATAAGTGGTACATGTCATTTCCTTAGACATTCACTTGTATCTTGGTTTAGTAAAAAGAAAAATTCAGTATCATTATCAATTACTGAAGTAGAAATATTGCTGCTAGTTTTGCATGTGCTCAAGTTCTTTGGATGAAACAAACTTTATTTGATTATCGTATAGTTTGTCCCATATCATCAATAATGTGTGACAATACAAGTGTAGTTAATTTATATAAAAATCCTATTCAACATTCACGTACAAAACATATTGACATAAGACATCATTTTTTATGTGATAATGTATTAAAAGGTCCCCATGATATCCAACAATAATAGTTCCAGAAAAGACTCTTTTCGGTGCTCCAAATATCCCCAATATTGATCTCTCGAAACTCTAAATCGTGTTTGGTATTTATACCAAACTCAAAACCAAATCAAAACAGGAAACAAAGAACTGGGCCTGACCCGATACGCGATTGACCACGACAAACACAGTACCTAGAAAATCAACCGTAGTATTCGGCGGTTGACCGCGACAGTCGACCGTACCCAACTCTAGACTCTCGGGTTTTATTACAGGGTTTGGCGGTCGACCGCGACGCTCGACTGCACCAAGCCTTGAATCATACTTAGGGTCTGTGCACGTAGTCGGTCGACCGGCCAAGCACCGCGGTCGACCGAACATGGTCAAAATTGTTCCCCTTCTTCCAAAACCTGTTCTTCTCAAATTTGTTCGCCAATTCTACATTTTTGGTGTCTACCCAACTATTTCAGCCCATAGCCTTGGTTTATAAGTCGTCAGAACCAAAGAAACCAGCGAAAGCATTTCAACCCCTCTCATTGTTTTTGAGATTCTCATTACAATGCTACTCATGGATGGATACACGTGCCACTGGCGGCATACTGCTATGCACCATTGCTTTCTTGCTATTGTATATCTCACAGGTTATGAAGATAAAATTGCCATCATAAGCCTATTTGTAATTCCAGCTGACTGAAAGCATGGTTGCTTCTCAATAGGGCTTACAACTTTCCTCGACAAAAGAAATACAAGTGTTAGTTAGCCAAGGTTCTGAAATAGGGAAAACAAGAAGTAGAAAACTTCAACGGTTAAAGTTATGATGTTTATTTAATAGTGGATGGATCCCACTGTTTTGATATCTAAATTTAAGCCTCCATGCATCACAATTGCGATAACATGTACGAAGGTGATTGAGACCAAAGATATACCTTCTGGTAGAACAAAATTTGAGGTCCCCGTTACTGACGTTCGTGGCACTAGCTCATACGAAGGTGACCCTCTTGTACAGTGTTTTTAAAACATGAACAAACACCTATCTTGCTTGCATAAATTGCGACAGATCTTAGATTGTAATATAAAACCTATCTGTAAGGATTCTTGTTGCTTCCTACCTATGATTTCACAGTGCATAATGTACAACCAATGTTTTGCTATTCATTTAGATTTTTATAATGCATGTCATCTTTGCTGTTAACAAACAATGCCTCAGTATTGTTCTAATAAAAAAAAGTTATTTTGTATAAGGAATCATATAAATATATGTCAACCCACCTTCCATCTCAAGAAAATTTATTAGAAGTTCGTGGAAAGTACTACAACAATCTCATCTCAAGCTCATTCCCACATTGATATCACATGGTCGCCAGGATTCTTCTTGTCTCCCAGTCTAATTTTTACTCCTTGACGTTAGCTTATATATAGTTATGAGAACCAAAGGTATCAACAAAAGCCCTCACATTTTCTTAGTTTTCTACTTGGCTCCTTCATCTTCCTCATCAAAAACTAGTTGAAATGGCTAACCACATTCGATCCATCAGCATGCCCTCTACATCTCACCCAACTATAATAAGAATACAAGAAGAACTAGAAAATCTTATGGCTCGTATCGCTTCCTCCAGAACTGCACAGATAGTGCCCGATGGACTTAAAAGTGTGGGAGATGTCTATGAACAAATTGAAGAGCTTATTCGTTTGCCTAGCAGCCAACAAAGTATACTATTATGTCGAAAGAAATGGATAGAAGAGCAACTTGATTGCTCTCTTCGGTTGTTGGATCTGATTGGTGCTGCAAGAGGAAGTTTGGTTTCCATGAGAGAGCATGTCCAAGACCTTCAGTTGGCCATTCGAAGGAAAGGAAACCAAGTCAATGAGTCCAAGAAGAAGGCCCAAAAGATTATTAAGGATTCTCTCAAGTCATTGAAGCTAATGAGTGGCAAAAATGTATCTTGTTGTATTGAAGACAATAGCAATCAATTGGATAAGGTTTTGGCTGAAGCAAGAGAGAGCACTATATCTCTCCTCAGTTCCATCTTCTCTTTCTTGTCAAAGACAAAAACAAAGACAAAGAGGTGGTCTATCGTCTCTAAGGCCATTTCCAAAAGAAAGGTGGCCTGCGAAGGAGAGTTCGAAGTTGCAACCGCACAGGAGAACATAGATATGTGGTTACAGGTTTCCTATGATTGCATCCTTTCCAAAGAAGTCAATGCCATGATGGTTGAAAAGGCACATAATGACTTGCAAGCAATGGAGGACAGGATGGAAATTCTCGAGTCCGGATTAGAGTTCTTGTTCCGGAAATTAATTCAAAATATGGTCTCTCTTCTTAACATCCTCAGCTTGTAGAGTTCATTGTCAATAATTTTACCCATCAAAGTATTGGCATCCTCATTTTAAAGGATTTGCTAGTATATGTTATTTCATCCGATTTTGTAAGTGGGTTGTTCCTAAAATATACTATTCCATGAATGGAAAAAAATTTCATTGCAAAACAAGTTTACTTTCAGTCGTTTGTGTTAGATTTGTTAGATCTGAATCATAAAACTTGAGATCTAAAACCATATAGCCATGATTAATTCAAAGAGATTAACAATAATCAAAAGAGCGGAAGCTTATACCTGAATCGATGGATGAACCTTGAGATGGGTTTTGGATCTTCTAACCTTAGGGTTTCTCTAAATCCGAATTTCTCTAGCTAGATGGGGGTGTAGAGAATTAGAGAATGTAACCCTAGGTTAGGGACCATAACCCCTTATTTATAGATGTTGTACTTTTGTAATTTAGCCCCTCAATAAATTACAATTACAACCTGGTATCTGCACATATGACCCCATGATTATATTTAAATACCCATTAACCCAACTTAATTGATCACTTTAGTGGGTTATCCTGAAAGATAGCAATACACATTGATTAATCATATGTGCCCACAAATAGATTTATTAGATTAAATCCAACAATCTCCCACTTGGGCACCATATGATTCCTTAAATTGTGTGTAACCTTATGAGCTCAAAAATTGCTATCACTGAAAAGGTATTTCCGAACAATCTCGTCCATTGACTATATCAATATAGGATCAAAGCGGCCTTCATCACATTTATCATGACTCGACCCATCAATGGTCACATATACCAATACAATCAAACGACATAGATCAATCATGGATGTGCAGCATGAAAATTACATGCAATGTGATCAGTACATGTCTATTTTCAACTGGTCCTCCTTAGTGAGGTCAAAACCAAACATAATGTAACAGAGTGTCTTAACTGAATACTTTATTCTGATCAGACAATACAACCAAACATAAAGCACCACAATTACAAACTCCCACTAAAATATAATATCCTCAAATAATACCACACCCATATGAGCAATATGCTCATGAAAGACCTAGGGTGGTAATCCCTTAGTAAGAGGATCAGCTATCATAGAGTTTGTCCCAATGTGCTCTATGGATATTTGTCCACTCTGTACCCTTTCTTTCACAACCAGGAACTTAATGTCAATATGTTTTGACTTAGTTGAGCTCCTGTTGTTATTAGAATACATTACTGCAGATTTATTGTCACAATATAGCCTTAATGGTCTTTCAACATTTTCCAAAATGCGCAGTCCCGTGACAAAATTTCGCAGCCATATTCCCTGATTGGATGCCTCATAGCAAGCTACAAATTATGCTGCCATAGTGAAGGAAGCTACTAGTGTTTGTTTGACACTTTTCCATGATATAGCTCCTCCTGCTAACATATAAATGTAGCCTGATGTAGACTTCCTGCTATCTTGGCATCCAGCAAAATCAGAGTCCGAATACCCAATGACCTCTAATTTCTCTGATTTTCTGTATGTGAGCATGTAATCTTTTGTTTTCTGAAGATACCTCATAACCCTTTTGACTGCTATCCAATGATCCATACCAGGGTTGCTTAAGTATCTGCCTAACATCCCAACAATGTACGCAATATCCGGACGCGTACATACCTGAACATACATTAGACTTCCTACAGTCCAAGCATAAGGAATCTTCTGCATTTCCTGAATTTCAAGGTTACCTTTAGGGCACTGATTGAGACTAAACTTGTCTCCTTTAGCAACAGGGGTATCACCTGGTCTGTAATCTTGCATGCCAAACCTTTTAAGTACCTTATCGATATATAGCTCTTTTGTGATAATCCAAGAATACCCCGAGAGCGATCTCGATGTATCTGGATCCCTAATATAAAAGAGGCGTCCCCAAGATCTTTCATTTCAAAATTCTTTAATAGAAATCTATTGGTTTCGTGCAACATGCCTATATCATTAGTGGCAAGCAAGATGTCATCGACATATAGAACCAGAAAAATATACTTAATTACTCCCACTGAACTTGTGATATACACAGTCATCAACAATGTTCATCTCAAAACCGAATGAGATAATTATTTGTTGAAACTTATTATACCATTGACGAGGAGTTTGCTTGAGTCCATAGATGGATTTCCTTAATTTGCAAACCATATTCTTTGGGTCTCCCGACACAAAGTTTTCTGGTTGCACCATATAGATCATCTCATCAATGTCATACATTCTTAACATCCATCTGATGTAACTCAAGGTCATAATGAGCAACAAGTGCCATGATTATTCTGAAAGAGTCTTTCGATGAAACCGGAGAGAAAGTCTCTGTATAATCAATGCCTTCCTTTTGAGTATAGCCTTTAGCCACATGACGTGCCTTATACCTCTCCACATTACCATTTGCATCCCGCTTGGTTTTAAAAATCCATTTACAACCAATTGGTTTTGCACCTTCTGGTAATGGGACAAGTTCTCAAACCTTATTGTCTTGCATAGACTTGTACTCTTCATTCATGGCATCAATCCACTGTTGAGAGTTAGAACTTTTTATGGCCTGAGAGAAGTTGATTGGATCATCTTCTAATATTCCACTACTTTCCTCATGTTCTTGGAGAAATACAATATAATCATCCGAAATAGCATTTCTCCTTTCTCTCGTGGATCTCCTTAATGGCACTGGTTCTTGAGGTTGTTGAGTTTGTTCTTCTGGAACAGGGAGTTGTTCAACATTATCATCTTGAGGTTCCGGATTTACTTCTTGAGCAACAACAGGTATAGGAACCTGAATATTGTCAAAAGTAACTGTATGGATTGGATCTGAAGCCAATTCCTCCTCAAAACTAATGTCTCTAACCTTATTTCTCCCCCCAAACTCAACATCCTCAAAGAATGTTGCTGTTCCCGTCTCAAAAATATTCCTTATAGTGGGATCATAAAACTTATAGCCCCTAGAGCGATCAGGGTACCCAATAAAGTAGCTGCTAACTGTTTTGGAGTCCAATTTCTTTTCATTTGGCCTATAAGGCCTTGCCTCAGCTGGACATCCCCAAATATGTAAATGCTTTAAACTGGGCTTTCGACCAGTCCAAAGCTCATAAGGTGTTTTAGCAACTGCTTTACTTGGTACTCTATTCAGAATGTAAGCTGCTGTCTTAAGTGCTTCTCCCCAGAGTGACTCTGGTAAAGAAGAATGAGCAATCATACTTCTTACCATATCCTTAAGAGTCCTGTTTCGTCTTTCAGCTACACCATTCATGCTAGGTGAACCCGGCATAGTGTACTGTGGGACGATACCGCATTCCTCTAGGTATCTAGCAAATGGTCCTGGACGTTGTTCACCTGAACCATCATATCTACCGTAGTACTCACCACCACGATCAGATCTGACGGTTTTAATTCTTCTGTTGAGTTGATTCTCAACTTCAGCTTTATAGGCTTTGAACATGTCCAGAGACTCAGATTTTTCATGAATAAGATATAGGTGCCCATAACGTGAGTAATCGTCTATGAATGATATAAAATATTGTTGACCATTCCAGGATTCCGTAGGGAATGGCCCACAAATATCCGTATGTATCAATTCTAAGACATCCGAAGATCTGTTGGCACCTAATCTTTTCACTTTGGTCTGTTTTCCCTTGATACATTCAACACATACGTCGAAGTCCGAAAAATCAAGGGAATCCAAAATGCCATCAGACACAAGACGCTCAATTCTACCTTTTGAGATATGACCTAAGCGCTTATGCCATAATGTCGCCGAATTTTCCTTATTTAATTTACGCTTAGTACCACGTGATTCCACATGCAAGGATTCATTGTAAGAAGCAATTGTATCAAGCAAATATAGGTTGTCATAAATACTCAAGTAACCGGTTCCCACAACATTTGAATTAAAAGATAAACTGAATTGACTGTTTCCAAATGAACAAGAATAACCTGATTTGTCCAATACAGAAACAGAAACCAAATTCCGTCTAAAAGACGGTACTACAAAAGTATCTTTTAAATCCAAATAATAACCAGTTCCTAACAACAACCTAAAGTGCCCAATTGCTTCCACATCTACCGATTGTCCGTCGCCCACAAAGATGTGTCTTTCAACATCACTTGGCTTTCGGTAGCTCATGCAACCCTGCATAAAAACACTTATGTGAGTAGTAGCACCGGAGTCTAACCACCAAGTGTTTCTAGGTACTGAAACTAAATTAACCTAAGAACAGACCAAAGCAAGGAACGTACCCTTATTATCACGCCAGGCGTGATATTTTGTACAGTCCTTCTTTACATGTCCAGGCTTCTTACAGAAGAAACAACCCTGATTATCCTTATGTTGTTTCTTCTCAACTGGACCCTTAGCAGCTTCCTTATCATTCTTCCTTTTCTTGCCCTTATCCTTAGAGGCATAGGCCAAATGAGCACTTTCTGTCTTATCTTGCTTCAACCTGTCTTCTTCTTGCACACAGTATGAAATGAGCTCATTTAGAGTCCATTTCTCCTTTTGACAGTTATAACTGACCTTAAATTGATTAAACTGTGCAGGAAGAGACAACAGAACCAGATGCACTAATAACTCATCACAAAGATCGAGTTTAAGTGCCTTAAGTTTTGAAGCAATATGAGACATTTCCATAATGTACTCCCTGATATTTCCTTTGCCCTTATACTTCATTGAAATCAAGCGAGCTAAAAGCGTGCTTGTTTCTACCTTATCGTTTTTCGCAAAACGCTTCTCAATTTCGGCAAGGAAATCTTTAGCCTTAATAATCCCTTCGGATTCTATGCCCCTGAAGGCTTCCGGAACGCCGCGCTTAATGATCATAAGACTCATGTGTTGGACCCTAGAGGGGGGTGATTAGGGTCAAGAGGCTCTAATATGCAATATAAATTCAGCACAAGCAAAATACAAACAAAAATACGATAAAAATAAGAGAGATAGGGTTAGGAGTTCGTTATCCTTAACGCGCGATGTGTTAACGAGGTTCGGCCCTTTGGCCTACGTCCCCGCTCCCCACTCTCGAGGAGAAATCCACTACACACCCGGTTTGGAAGCCGGAACTTCGTCTACACAGCGATCT